TTTCGGTCATAGGTTGAGGGGGTACTTGTGCATTTTCCCTATATTTTATTTAATCATACAATATTTGAAATTTACTGATAATTTATATAAATAGCTAAATTTAGGTATTTATATATAATATATATATAATATATAAGTATCTCTTAAACTATAACCGAAATTCTAGTGATATATCTTAATTAAACTAAGATTTTACTATCTTAGAACTCATTTTCTTTATAGTTTTATACATCTTTTGACTTACGTGGCACACTTTGCGACTTCACGCAGTTTAGGCGTGTGGGAGATGTTTGGATACCACGTAAATAAAAAAGTTCATAAAGTTACAAAAAAATAGATTCGGGAGAAAGGGGTAATGGTACCTTAGCTGGTTAATTAAAATATATCTCAAAAATTTTGATCATAATCTAGGTAATACTTGTACCTTATCCTAATATACCGTCTTTCCTTCACTATTCAATTTATATTCCTTGATATTTGAGAAAAGACATAAATTTTTCATTGAACTTATACCAAAAAGTCAGTTACACGGTTAAATTATCATAAGAATATATTACACACCTATACTATTCAAAAGTAAACTTATTACCACCCCGAAACGTGTAACACCATTCTCACATTATGTGGTGTATTATACTCGCTGCTACATCAGTGCTATGTGTCAGTGCTATGTCATAAATTATATTTATTTTATTTATTTATTTATTTATGTATTTATTTATGTGTTAGTATGTGTTAAATAATAAAATAAAATAAAAAGAAGAAGAAAATTACAATGTGTTTGTGCTGCTAGTAAAGCTTGATCTTCATGTCATTAAAAAAAAATTAAATCATTAACTGAACTCTTCATAAAATTAAGTTGTTCAATTTGCAATGATGGCTTTATTAGCAAAGTACTAGTAGTAATTCTAATTTTTTTCTTATAATTTTTTCCTAAATTATACATTTAATTACTTTCATATTGTTTAAGTAATATTTAGTGAATTCCCTAATTAAAAGTCTTAATTCCAATGTTTTTTAAAAAAATGGTTAATTAATATTATTTTTGTTACAGGAAGAGTTCCAGCTTGGATTATTCAGAGATAACAGGAAACATTCTTTGTTTTCAGACAACAACATAGTTCATTTTATTAGGGCGGAGAAACGAATTCAAGATTTTTAGTTAGTGAATTTAGAATGAATATAACATGTTTTACTTTTTGTTGTCATTGTATATATATAAAGAATTCGAATGAAAAGTAATAGGTTCAATTGAATATTGAGAATTTGTCTTACATCCGACTGTACGTTGTAACGACACTCATTCTTTCATTTTCTACTTCTTTTCAAGGCCTTTGGTTTAGCGAGAAAATATTATTGTACAATAGAGATGAATTCATAATTTAGAGTTAGTATGTAGTATATTTTTACTTTTTTTTCGTGTATCACTACAACAAAAATGATCATGAACGATATTTAATTCTTAATTGCCGCCAAATATATATTTTTAGTGGCAATTGTCACTCTTTATATATGTCCCTAAAGTTTTTAGCGATATTAGTTCTAATGACACTTAACTAATGCTGGTAAAGATGTTAGCACTCTTTATTAGTGTCAATATTTAATGACGCTAAAAATTATTTTTATCATAATATATTTACTATAGAGTCGGTGGGTTCAGGTTAATGAATGCGATCTTATTATCCCAAACACATTATAAGTTTTTGTCATAAATGTATATATAACTCGAATTTTCGAAAATAATTAATTTAATTAAATTCGTAAAGCTCATGCATTACGTGTAGATGTTCCAACAAGGATGGGCTAATTGATGTTGGGGAGTTTATCCGTACACTAGCAGAAAAAGTTGGTGGTAAGGAAAATATTTTTCGAAAAATGCTGTTTTTTAATATTTAATTATTAAAAAATAATTTTCAGGAAATCGTTTTTACAAAAAGTATTTTTTTTTTTACTTTTGGAGGACGAAAGTTATTTTTTTTTAACAATACGTTGCTTTTACTAGCACTTTCATATTATTATTGATCTTTAAAATTACTCAAAAGTTTCACCAAACGGCAAAGCCTTAATTTATTTCACTAATAATATAATTTTTCCTTAAATTTAATCTGATTTTAGGCGAAGGAGCTTATATTTGGGCTATTATATGAGTCAGAATTGATACTCACTGATGATATAGTTGAAGTAATTATCAACAAGGTATGGAACAAATTTGTTGCTAATCTTTTTTTTTTTAACTATAAATATTAAATTGTTTAGTTTGATATAAACATCTACTGCGACTAAGTAATTATGTGTACACAAAATATTGTCATTAACATATATTTGTACTCTTAACTAACCCATATTTAGTGCTAATTAAAAAAAAAATTCGATGAAGACAATTGAAGAGGCAGATTCTAAAGGGGATGTAAAGATAGATATATAAAAGAGTGGAATAATTTTGTAGCTCATAATCCATCTTTGTTGAAAAATATGACATTTCCATATCTCAAGTAATTCTCTAATCTTCCACTAAATATGCTTCACCCTTCATAATAGTAAAATTACAAAAATATATTTATCATCACATTAAAAGTAAGTATATTTCACCCTTCATAACAGTAAAATTATAAAAATATATTTATCATCACACTAAAAGTAATTAAATTTTGCTATTATAATATGCCATTAAACTTTCAGAAAAGGCTCATTTATTTCATCAGTTAAAAGTTTGGCTCATTTATGCCATCACCGTTAAAAAAAAAGACTAGTTTATGTCATCAGTTAAAAGTTTGGCTCATTTATGTCATTACCATTAAAGAAAAGACTCATTCATGCCATTATTTTTTAACAATGGTTTTGCAAAACCATTTTTGACACGTGGCCAATTATAATTCGGTCACGTCATCAATTTTTTTAATTAATTTTTTCATCAGTTTTTATTCAGAATTTTGATTTTTTCTATTAAAAAAATTAATTACGTGACCGATTATAATTGGCCATGTGTCAAAAATGATTTTTCAAAACCATTATTAAAAAATAATGACATGAATAAGACTTTTCGCCTTTTTTCCAGTAACAATTAAGTCATGAAATTATTGCTTTTGTCATGTTAAATTATATAGAACTATGTCTCTAATGCTCAGAGAATACAAATGAAAGAAAAGTCAATTTTTTGGTGCGGGGTGATTGACATGTATAATAGCTATCGTGATACTTTAAATTGTCTTAAAATTTTGCTTATGTAATTGAACTTTTTTTTTTAAACAGAAAAACATGACTGAAAAGTAGCAAGTGAAAGCTACTTCTAATAGCTTTATTAAATTAATAATCATTCTACTAAATTTTGAATTTCATTATTTCACAGGGATAACACAACTACATTTCGGTAAATACACAAAAGAATGATGAGGTTTACAAGGATTTTTGAGTTATAAAAGTGGCAACATAGCAATACTTATCAAATTATTAGGCCTCATACAATAGGAATGTTAAATTAATTAGGCCTCATATAATAGGATATCGAACATCCGATGGAATGACTAAAATGACTCGAATGAAGGTGCAGCGAATCGCGAGGGCTCCATCATATCAAAATTTCAAGTAACATAACTCGCTGCGACTCAAAAATAGTTTCACCTTCTTTCAGCTACAACCTCCGACGTGCCATCAAATAAATAACGTGGGAAGAAATCAAGAAGGAATACAATTTTTTTTCAACATTTTCTTATTTGACCAACTTTAAAACTATCATGCTTAAAAGAACCAAAAATTAGTCCATCTAAACAGACTCCAAAATTAGAAATGCTGTACAAGTTTCTAATATGGAAAGAACAAAGGGAGTCTCATCATTCTTCCAGAAAAGATAACATGCTATCACTTCTTCACAAACCTAAAATATTATGTTGCAACGACGTATGGATGCACAGCTTAAGCACCGGTCTCCTCCTCACTTGCCAAAACGACCCCTAGCCCATGGCGCTACATGCTGACCACCTCCATTTCTCCTTGGCATGTTGTTCTGCTGAGATTGCATTTTCATCCTTTGTTCCTTCATATTTGCAAATAGAGAATCTAATGTCTGAGGCCTCTGCTTTGACACTGGCTTGACTTCCTGCTTTTGTTGCTACAAACAAAACACAAACCTTGTTAAATTTTTCCCAGAACTTACCAAGTTCTATGCTAGCTGTCTACAAGATCAATGACATAACATGCCATGTAGGACGTAAGAACTGATGAATTAGATGGACAAAAAATTGGAACACCTTCAGTAATTCAGCCCTAGCTGAAAAACTCAACACAAAATCAACGCTTCCAATGGGAGGAAATAGGACCTTCATAAGTTATAAAGGAAGAATTCATACAAGTTACTGTTAAACCTTCTCTCACCTTAGCAATAAACCTGCCACCATTTGCAGCACTCTTCTGAACTGGAGGAGCCCCAAACCTGCACAAGTAACAAAAAGAGAATTGAAGAGACTGTAGGGAGAAGTGCTTATCCGCAGATTACTTACTAAAGGGTGAGCAGCACCAAGATGAAGAGGAAATCCCCAGTGAGATCATTATGCACGTAGTTTTTTTACTTCCAACTTACCATCGGTCCTCAAATTAAAACTTCTCAACTGGCCAAACCTTAGAAACAGTAGCAGCATCCCGAACAAAAATCGATAGCTTTCAGCTCACCCCCCACCAGAAGGTAAGTCAAACTAGAACTAACAGAAACACAGATGTGGAAGAAATGTCGTCTTGGGTTTTTGGACAACTTTCATCAGTCAAATATCCAATAATATGCCCAACTTCAGCAGAACGGCTTTCACCACGAAACTAGAACTGCTTCAATAGAGTTGCAGCAAACTTCCCAACATAACATAATTCAACACAAAATGTAAAGCCCTCCACACGTCCCACAAACCCAACTGTTTCTGTTAAAGAGCTTAAGTACAACATGCAATCTCTATCCTCCAAAACACTGCCACAAGGTTACGGCACAAACAAGAGTTGGATACACGCCGACACAAAGAGAAGTATCACCATTTACGTGACCCGCAACAGCAATTTCAAAAATCAATAATACCATAACACCCACAAAATAATACAAAAATGCTTCTGTAAGGTATCGAAGGCAAAACTTAAAATGCACAGCAGCCTCGCGAACTCATAGCTGAAAGAAATCTGATGAATGCCATGTGTCTATGCTCCATGCATTCCCAAACTTCTCATCAACATAAATTTTGATGGTTGGGCAGCGGAAAGAAAATGAGGAAAACTGCTAATTAATATCCCAAAAAGAAATTCAAAGACATTTGTCTCCAAGTCTCCCCGAACTTCTTATCAACAAAACATTTGGCACTTTGAAGAGGAAAGAAAATGAGAAAGAATTGATAATCCAAAAACCCGAGGGAATTCAAGGAAAATTCCTTGAGAAATAGTTGAGTCACTTCGAACAGAATCTTCCATCAGGACATCCTTTCTGTACCCAAAAGAAAATCACTGATAATCAATTTCCATAGAATTGAGTTGCCATGGGACAAAGTTATCCAAGGCATTTGTTCATATGAAGCCACCATTCCAAAACCTCAAACTAACAAGTCATAGTATACACCATGTTCCCTACCAGACAAATCCTTGGAAACTATGCAGTTACCACAACACAGGAAAATCTCATTATAACATATCTTTATGCCAGCTCCCAGATGCACTTTAAATCCACATTAAGAGTTCCACATCTTGTAGTGTCCTGATACCAACTTAAAAAGAGAGAAACTCAAATACAATACATGCACAACAAACTGGTCAACCAACATGTTGTAGAAGGATGTAACTTTTCTGAGGTAAAATAACCATATCATTTGACACTTGAACAAACTTCCAAAGACTGCAACTTCAATATCTCCCCACCGGATTAACAGGGAACAGCATGCTTTTGAAGTATATAAAATGAAGGAGAGACACATGGCAAATTCATCTACAATAAATAGGACCACAATTTACCTGCATCAAATGAGAGTTCAATTGTTACTCCAGATTTGACATGAGCATGTCCAGGGAACTAACAAACAACAAACTTCATCGTATATTAACTTCACAATTCAATACACACCTCTGTTTATTTACATTCACTGCCTGGCTTCGATTGAAAGCCCTATTGCGAATAGGAGCAACTGCTGCCCTTCTGGCAGCCTCAGTTGCCAAAGGAAACTGGTCTCCCTGAAAATTTGATCTTCTTTGAGCAAGAGCCCCCTAAGAAGAGTATCAACAAAACAGTGTCTTAAGTGTTCAACATTCACAAATATGAAAAAGAATCCATCAAAATTTTCATAGGTTGCACCAATTGTGAAGAGTACCTGTCTCATAGATGATCTTGTGTCCATAAACCTTTGTATCTTAGCAGATTTATCCTGAGCCAGGTTATTAGAAAACTTTTGGCTTCTATTCTGCAGAGTAGCAGACAACAGATGTTTAAAAATGTTCCTAGTCAAGTTGACAAAAGCAGAAAATAAACACTAAATGGTCAAGACAATGGTGTTCTTACCGAAACTCTTTGCTTCTTAGTTTTGGTTGTGTTTGTCTTGGACATCTTGATGATATCGTCTGCAACCATCAAGCGATTATCAGCAAAAAAGGAAGCAAACTAAAAGACAAAACATATATAGCTGGCATGCTTACCTAATGTCATGTCCATTTTCTTCTCAGTAAGTGCAATAGTCTCAGTTGTCAGTATTTTAGCTGCCATCTGAGAGGGGAGGAAAATCAGTCAACTGAATATAACATAGAAATATCCAACTAAACTTAAAGGACAGCTGAAGATGCAGGCACAGAAGGAAAAATCAAAGTCGTCAAAAGAAGACGGAAGTATATGACACGTTGAACTGATCAATGAGGAGAAGGATGTGGACAACACTGAACATGTGAAGAAGAAATATCAGCTCAGGGAAAATAAGTTACAAATTACAGAGAACAAAAACCAACAACGAAACAAGAACTGTTTCACTGCCCCTTTCTCGCTGCAGGTGAAGGAAGGAAACAAAATAGTGTAGTTTAACCTGACAATCAGAGAAATAATCATGCAGGAACGCAGTTATATGAGAAGAGTTCTATTGGGATAAATTTACAGCAAACTAAAATTATGTATTAGAGTTAATGGCAACACCGTTGTTCATTTTTCTATGACCTCAAAACTGTTTCTGTAACAGTACTTAATATTTTAAGAACCTTTTTTTATCAACGGTAGAATAATCACGTAACTAGCTTGACAATATTAACCAAAGGGACAACGCAACTGCTCAAATAGACAAGTTAGAGCAACTGCCCAGAAATAAACATGTCCCGCCCATTATCAGAAGTTTCAGTAGTTTTTTACACCTTCTCAAAAACTGTAACACATCTTTGCAGCATTCAGCCTTTTAAGTTTTAATTATCACAACAACAACAAAAGCACAGAAATAATCAGGTGCTCATAAATCAAGCTCTCATTGATATCTAGAAACTAGTTGCCAACACTTCACTCCACCTGACATCTTTTAAGGAACCAAAGATGAAACTAAATCCACGATCGAGTACCCCTACCAGTTTCTCCAAATTCCATCTAGAATCTAGACATTCCCATCTAATAAGCTAGCACAACAAGAAAGCATCGATACACATTCTTAGAAACAGTAAGTACATCATAGCTTCTTCTAGGAAATAAATCAGCTCATAATACAAACTAAAAAATAAAGAACACGTTCCAGGTCTCAGCAGCAGCCACACCTTAAGCTAGTGAGAACAACCACACCTTAAGCTAGTGAGCCATTAGTTAGACAAAGTCGTACAGATATTCTGCTCTATCTGCTCAGATCTCTTCACAATCAGCTTACTAACTGTTCAGTTAAAACAGTGTAGGTCCTCCTTATCTCATAGTGACATAACAACTATTAAAACTAGGGACTTACTGTAATCCATCTAAAACAAACTTCTCACGTCTACCTAACAGAAGGTTGTAAAACGAAATCATCAAAAAAAGTATATGTCATAGTGAAGCAAACCTGAAAGGTGAAACTAAGTCGCTGAAAACCACAAAATCCAAAAATTTAACAAATAACTAAAGTAAAGTTTCACTCTAAGGAAGCCTTTTGAGCTAACCAACATGAAAATTGCAGAAACAAAAAGAGCTGAGAACGAGCAAACTGTCTCAAAAATTGCAGAAACACTAGTTCTCCTTACTTAATAATTATGACTAACACAACTCTTAACAATTTGGTATCGTCAACTGTAACTTCTGAATTTTCATAAAATTCCTCAAATCCACATAACACAAGGATGTAAACTGAAAGCACCAAATAAATTAGGTCTCTGATAACCACAATGTCAAAAGAAATTGAACTAACCAGAGCAAATCCTTCACTCACAGACTTATTTTGAGCATAACATCATGAACATACAAAAAAAAAGGATAAAAACAGCTCGTGAGGAGCATCACAAACTATCTCAAAAATCGCAAAAACACTACAGATTCTCATTATCTAATAATTGTGACATACAAAACATTAACAACTAAGCCTTACTTTCAACTATTTGGTATCGTCAACAGCAACTTCAGGAATTTTCCTAAAATTCATCGAATCCAAAAAAAAAGGATATATAATGAAATCACCAACAGATTAGTTTCTAATGACCACAAAATCAAAAGAAATTGAACTAATTGAAGCAAAATTCACACTCATACGACACTTTTTGCGCATAACAACACGAATATAACAATAAAAAAAAGGATAAAAAAGAGCTCGTGAGAAACACAATCTGCCTCAAAAATATGCAAAAATTGCAGAAAATAATGGTAACAAAAGTAAACCTGTTTATGTTTGTGAAATCGAATAGAAGATGATGAAGCTGATGTTGAATGCTAGGGTTTCGATTTTTTGAGAAGAAGAAGACGGCGAATTTAGTGTGATGAAAAATTATGGTGAAACAATTACGGAAATTATCTATTCGGGAATTTATATATGTAGAGGCGGTGCACCCTTTGATTATTGGATCGAGCAAGAGCAAATCACGTGCTCCTTTTATGACTCGTTTGGAGAGTAATTTCCCTAGTCACGTATGTTTAACAAATTATCGAAGAATATCACTTATATTCGTTTTAGAACTATAATATCATTTATTTTAATCTATTTTTTTGTAACTAGTAATGGACTTTTTTACTATTTATTAAAAATAAGTTTTTTAATTTTTTAATGATAATTATTATTTTTTAATATAAATTTTTTGATTAATTTTTTTAAATAATAATTATAGTTTTTTTATGGTGCACTTTTTCTTCTCCTAATAGATATTTCTACATTCCATTTTGTTGGAGCATTCCCTAAAATCACTAAAAATGTGATAAACATAAATAGACATTATAGTTTTTTTATAAAATAATTCAATTTTCAGTTTTCAGTTTTTAACCAAAATAAATTGAAATTTAAAGCATTTAAAGATCTTTCATTTTTTTCCCTGTAATAGCCATTACTATTTTTACAAAAAAAAAAAGAGTTCAATTTCATTTTTTCCTTTAAAATGAAAATTAGAGGCATTTAAAAATCATCCATTTTTTTCCGTTACAGTTTTTTTAACTAAAAAAGTTTTATTTTCTTTTTGAAATAGCTATATTAAAATTTCTGTTTTTTTAATTGTATTTTTAGAGCATATTTAAAATACTTTTTGAAAAATTAAAATTTTTGAATATTTGTGATGCTGACATGTGACACTTTTTATTTTTTCTATTATACATAGATAGATTTTTTTAAAAAAAATTTAGATAAACCCACATATTATACCCAGTAAAAAAATTACATTAAAAGCTGTAATATGAGCTCCTCCGGTTCTTCAAGAAAATATGTGGGTTTCTCCGGTTCTTTAAAGAATTAGAAAAATATTAATAATAAGTTAAAAATGTGACATGGCACCCTAGTAGGAGAAAAATAATGTATTTTTTGTGTCAAGTATATTTTGAAGAAAATAAGCAAAATTGGGTGATATTGTAGTCCTAAAACAAACATAAGTGATATTCCTAAATAATTTTCTAAACATGAGTGACTATCTAGGGAAATTACTCCTTGTTTGGATGGTTGTTGTTACTCATTAGACTCGTTCGCTATTACTTATCATTACGATTCTACAGGCTTCTTAAGAGATAATAACTAATATCAGTGTTTTCTAACACTCATAATAATAATTGATTTGTAGTTTTAGATATTGTAAAATAAGTAGCTAATATTGAGGATAAAAATATAAAAGATGTTATTTTTTATGATATGTTAAAAGTGATAATTAAATTTTAAAAAACCAAGTTTTGGAGTACTTGACAAGTTAAACCGAACACAAAGAGTATTGTATTGTTATTTTAAAAAATTAATCATCCAAAACACACCTAAACCATTATGTTTTTCATAAATTTTAAGGAATCAATTATTCTTTTTACATATCTAAATTATAGGATCATTCGGTAGAAAGTACAAAAATAATGCAAATTATAGTGTATTTAGTAATGTTTGTATTAGTTATATTGAGATTTTTCTCAAGTATCGTTTGGTTTGGTCTGGTGTACGAAAGTATCGTGCATTGCATAATTTCTTTTTAAAATATATTTGTTGTGGAAAAATTTTCGAGGGACAATTAATCATGTTAATGCATGCATTGGAACTCACTGCATTACTAATGCTTATAAATCTATCGTATTAGTAATACAATTTTCAATACACAATAGATTGTATTACTAATACAAACATTAGTTATACATAGGTTGAAAAATATATCAAATAAGATACTACGAACTAGTAATACAAAAAGTTAATTTATAAATTATTTTCTCCAATACACTCTATCCCTCCGTAAAAAAACTCTTTGATTTTAAAAAAAGTGTTTTAATACATCTAAATTATTACTTTATCTATTATCTTAATTTTATTCAGTATATTTTATAATATGGTAAGTTACTTCAAATTACAAATATATGAGCGCATGTAAAAGCGAAAATTGTTCAATTTATTGAAACATGTTTATTTATCAATATAATGTATTGCGAGACAATAAAATAGTCACATCAAAGGCAAAGAAGAGACCACCAATTTCATCCCCTAAATTTTTCCTGAACAAGTAGTAAAATATAACCTCTTTTTGGCTGTAATTTTTGAGTTACAATTTCAATAGAGAAGGCCAATGTCTTGGGTATAATTTTTACAAGGTATTATTTAATTTTTTTTTTCTTTTCTGGATTTTATTGTTTCTCATGCTAATATAATAGTGGTGGTAGTTACTTATAGTTATATTTAATTTACTTATATTTACTACATCTGTAGTTTTTCTTTTATTTACTCCATAACTCTTAATTTCAAGAGAAGTAAAAATTAATTTTATTTTTCGTTTAATTAATTTACAAGTCAACATCATCCAACATGCTTATATCAATTCAACATCCTTATATAAAAAAATTTACAATACCAATTAGCATACTTTAGTCGTGAAGTGTGTGAAAGTATATGCTAACAATAAGCAAGATTAACATAAAATATTAAACTATTTTACGAATGAAATACACAATAACAAAGTAAATATTGGGCTCGTGCGCACACGGGCAAAATTATCTAGTAGTTTAAGAGAAGTGTGAAACTATCACCTATCAGGCTTGATGAGCGGTTTGCAACACTGCATCCTTTTTTGCATGATCTGTGCACGTTACTTTCTTCAGAAGGTTGACCGCTTGTAGGTTTCGAGGGTCATCCATTACGAAAAGACCTTCTTCTGAGTGGATATGTGGAAGTACGCTATGATGATCCTCTAAATCTTTCCATTTCTAAGAAGTCCTCAAGTTCAATCTAATTTAGTTTAATTGTGTTTTAGTTGGGAATAACTTGTCTTTCTTTTGTTTATATGTATACTTGTCTTTTTGCAAGTGTTTGAAATTTGATTTTCATTGGGGTTTAGCCTCGTATACTATACATTCATAGAAAACCTATCATCCTGCATGACAAAAATTGAAATTGTGTCATCTATATTTTTGTCTGGATTAGAAATGTCACTGAACAAACTTGATTGACAAACACAGTTTATGTATTACTAATATAGCGTTTGTCGATTATTTGACAAACTCATCATACCACACCACAAAATTGAAAAGAACGCATTGAGTGGAAGCTCGGGCATTGAGAAGGAAGGGCACTTTCATAGGGGAAAGATCAGTGAGATTGACATTGTTTATGATCCATGAATCTCATATTACAAAATTGTATTCATTTTATGTGGCTAGTTTGTGTTATCTGGACTTTTCAAATTTAACGAACTAAAATATCTTAGTAGCTAATGAAGGAAAATTAATCGAGATACGTTAATAACAGTGAACAAGAGGGGATTAGGGGTTTGAAGAAAACAGACACGTACGCCTTGCTTAATGTTGCTATCTATATATTTAAACCTTCTTCCATTGGCAATTGATAATAATCTTAAATATAATAGTATTGCATTAGAAAGCTAATATGCATTGCTTAACCATGGTCTTAAACATAAATATCTTGCATTCATTCGATGGTTGTTGGCTTTTAAAAGGTGTAAATGGAAAATGAAGAGTTGCGACTTTTATTAAGAGTTGTGATTTTTATGAAGAGTTACGATTTTTATGAAAAATTGTGACTTTTATGAAAGGTTGTGAATGATTGTGAGTTTTCTAAAGGTTTGTGACCTTTTCGGTATGGCACAATATGAACATTTTCACACTATTCTTTGTTTTCTATAAATTGAGAGATTTCCTCTCATTGTAAAAGAACGAATTATGTAGACTTCTTCTACTATTACTAGTATTTTACTGTCATTAAGTGGTTCGCTGACATCGTGATTTTAGGCAGCGATACACTGGTGAATAAGATCGTTCTATCCCGAGAGAATATATTTCATTAACCTCGGATACTTGAGGGAATTAATTTCCTTAAAGTGACACTGTACACTCAGTGGGCTCAATTTTCTTCTTTAAGAAAAAATATTTTGTATTATTGTTTCTAATTTGTTTCTAAGTCTATTTTCACTACTAGTTTCAATTTTCCAGTTGTGAAAATGCTATTCAAACTTTGTTGTTCATACCAAATTCTTGAAAGTTTTGTTTAAGTATCTCAGGGATACAATTGAACAAACAATGGTTTGATGTGACATAGAATACAAACAAGTTTTCCAAACAATCTTCCCAGCTTTTACTAAGATTTTCGGCTGGAAAGAGAGTCATTGTCAATACTTTGAACGAGGAGGAAGAACATCTTCTCTCTTCGACTATTCAAATATCCGAGACTGCTAGTCAATTTGGTGACACTGGTTCAGCAACAGTTCAGTACATTTGATTATTTGAACCATATAAATAACAGTTTGCTAAAGGTTACATTGCTACTCTAAGGGAAATGGTCATCAGATTTATTTATTCAGATAATCAATACTTTCTGAGTATTCATTCGGAGTTAATCACAGTTCAAATTAAGAAAAACGATTTTTGTTCAGTTCACACCGTATATCCACTTCTCCGCGTTGCTTGTGTATCTAACCAACTCTTCTGGTTTGAACCATAGTTTGATCTCGTCCTTGGCTGTCTCGGGTCCATCACTCCCATGGATAATGTTCCTGGAAAGCAACTCATCTTTTTCAGATTCAAACGTCTTAATCTTAAACGGAGCCTAACTATAGCATTAACAGAAGAAGTTTTGTTACCTTCCGACTACAACAGCTAAGTCACCTCTAATTGTTCCGGGTTCTGACTTTTGTGGATCTGTTGCTCCGATAAGCTTCCTTCCATATTTAATCACTCCTTCGCCTTCCCATACCTAGAATTCAATTATGAAGTATTTAAAGTGAAACTCTTTAGCAAACAAGTAAAGTTAGACTTAGCTAAATTCAATCTAACCATTGCTACGACAGGGCCAGAGCTAAGGAAACCACATAGACCATTAAAAAATGGTCTCTCTTTAAGGTCATGATAATGCTTTTGAGCAAAATCCTTAGATGGAACCACAATTTTGATCGCGACTAGCTTGAAACCCTTGCGCTCAAAACGTGAGAGGATTTCTGAAATCTGCAATTTGGAATGAAGCTTTCTTAGTCAATTCGACGGAGAACTCTACATCTGCATATCACGGATGCAAGAGGAACAAAGATAGTTCATGGAATTCACATACCAAGCCTCTTTGCACTCCGTCTGGCTTGATAGCAATGAAGGTGCGCTCCATCTTGTAGGAAAATGTGCCGTGTCAGTTGTAAATAAAGAATGCAAATACAGTCGGACCTCTTTATAACAATCATTTTCTATAATAACATTTCACTATAACAACCTAGTTTTCTTTGGAACCAACTATCATATTATGTTATATTATATATTTTCTATAACATCTCTATGTAGCAGCCAAAAAAAGGCGTCGTTATAAAGAGGTTTGACTGTAACGATTAATGCAAGATATAACACATGGATTCATAGGAAGAGCGAGAATAAGGTACCTCAGCAGCATGCGCTTCTTGCTCCTGGAGCATGTAAGCTATATGATAAAGACGGAGAAATAAAACGAAATTAGACTAGAGGTTCCTATTTCTTTTGTTAGTCATTGCATATAGAAAATTCAAATTTTCACCAAAGAGGCGCATTCGCAAAGGACAAAAAAGTTTAGCAGCAAAAATTCAACAGAGCTATAAGATACCAACCTGCTGCAGGAAGGGCAAGGATTCCTGAGATCCAACCTGTAGACGAATTCCGGGACTTAGTCCTACCATATGTAGCTAAAGAAGGCACAACTCCTCTCAAAGAAACTGTGGCTGCTGCAGCCGCTGCTCGTCCCCCTGCAAATAAGGAAAGCCAGACATATTGTGTCTAATGAGCAAAGCCAGGTCAGTTGTACTAGTTAAAAACAGAAATAGAGGCTGATCGAGTATATACAGACATTGAATCGGTTCGGTTTATGATTAGTGTAGTAATTTTTTCAACGAATTACACTACCCTGGCTCTACCCTCACTAGATCTCACACACACGTATATATATATATATATATATATATAAACCAAGCTCGAAGATACACGAAAATTGAAATCAGTCTGTGAACAGACACATATATATATAGGTTAATAAATTTTTTCTAGAAATATATATCATGATCGAAAAGCTCAGTGCTTCCCCCAAGGCAGATCAAACACAACCACACTGAGTTCAAAGATGCACAAGCACTGAAATCAGTCTGAGACCACACACACATAGATAGATCAAGCACATCAATGGTGCTAAAGGCAGTTATATATAATAGAAAATAAACATCTAAGGTTTCAAAATCAACGCACAATTACACAAACCGAGCTCGATAATGCACGAGAATTTTGAAATCAGTCTGCACACAAACACATCAAAAATAAACCAAGCTGGAAATGCACATAGATTGAAAATCAGTCTATGCACCACACACACATAAATTGATTATATATAAATATATACATGAAAGATTAGACGAGGAAGCGAAGAAGGAAGAAACATTTGAGATTTAAGGAGGAATGGAACGAAAATTTTACCGGAAAAAGCACGAGAACTTGAAGTGAACAGAGACTTGGTAGCTCGTGAAGCAGATCTACAAATCTGAGAATTCATCTTTCAAACAAACAAAAATTCTGATTCGATATGTAAACAGATGAAGAAAAGTAAAAAGATGAAAGGAACGAATATGTTGATCAGTTGAGTGGAGCTTTTAAATTTGTTACAAGTATGGAACACGTGAGTGCACGCGCTGAGTGGGAGCGTGGTGGAAGAGACAGTTTGGGCTTTGGCTGGGTCAAAATCTGGGCCCGAAGTTCTTGGGCTGAACTAATGAATCTGATTCGTTGCTTGTGAAATTCGTATTATGTTTTTTTTTACTACATATTTTTAATTACTTTTAAAAAAAATTTAATTCAATTTATTGATCTTTATAATGATGAATATTCAAATTTTAATATTTAGTACACATTATGTCGAAATATTAGCTTTAATTAAAATTCAATTTATTGATCTTTATAATGATGAATATTCAAATTTTAATACTTAGTACACATTATGTCGAAATAGTAGTTTTAGTCGAAAGCGTAACAAATATGTTATATCGTGAAAAATTACATACAAACAAGTATCGAAATATTTATTAGATGTCTTAAGTTCGAGTTCGAAAAGAAATTAAAAATAAAATAAAATTAGATTATCAAGTAATCATTCTTATTCTTTGATTGTTCCTAAGTTAATTCTTTGGTTCTTTACATCATTATTATACCTTTACCTCTTTGATTTCTATTCTCGTTCTTTTGTTACATTGCACTTGTATTAAAATTTTATCGGTTTGTCAGTTTTAGAACGATTATCTTAAAAATATTACTTTCTGTGTCCCATTTTATATGACACGTTTTGATTTTCAATATTCAATTAAATCTATCTTTAATCGTAAATTTTTCATAGATCATTTAAACATTTTGAATTATCAATTATTGTGACTTATAGTACTTTTTACGTAGTTTATAAATATATAAATTTCATTTCCAAAAAATTGAAAATTCCATGTGCAAATTGTGAATGAATTTCTACAGATTCTCTGAGTGGATGATAGAAAATCTGATCATGCAATGTCTATAATAACTACCACTACTATGCTACAATCCCAGCAAAGTCGGAGTCGTCTATAAGTTCTCTCTATATTTGGACAACACAGTGCATAAAGCATCCCACGTTAGCAGGGTGTGGGGGAGGGTCGCACCCAGTGTGATGTACACAGCCTACACGAAGTTCTAGATATTTGACAGGACTAAAAGTTAGCATACAGTACTGTCTGCAAATAACAAATTTCTTTAGCCAGATGGTATGAGAAATCTGATCATGCAATGTCTGCAAATGGTTACATTCTGTACCAAAGAACAAAGCCTATCAATGTACACGACAGTTTACCAATCCAGGTGTGGATAACCATTCCGTGCATAACGAATTATTAACAATCATGTCACTGGTTTAAAGAAGTACAACAGCTAAAACATAAACACGAAAATGTAGTCAAACCAGTCACTTAACATGAGCGTGAAGTTGTGAGCTGTGTCTTCTCGCTGAAGGTAATTCGCTTTGAAGTTAGATGCAGCCACCCAACTGCCAAAAGGAAAAAACAATTAGACAGATGAAAGAATTGAAAGCATAACAAAAGAGGCAAATGCTACAATTCATTAGAATGTCATTTTGTTTTCCAGTCCATGTTCGAAAGGTTATTTTGATTCTCAGTTCATGTTTGGGATTTTTACACACGATTCTTCAAACACCTCTGGCTAGAAATTACTCAAACATGGTGCATTATCTGTCATATAACTAGGCTGGGATTCATTGCCTAAGCCTACATCTTATGTTCAGCATGTGCCGTGAGAGAGAGACACGTTTGACGGACAGCAAGTACACATCCTTTCCATGTTCTTCCAGTTACATATTTGCTTCCCTAGTAACAATCTCACTCAAAGAAGCCAATTAAATAGCACTCAAGGGCGTGGGCCGCGTGGTATAGTGGTTGATGAAGTGGGTCGACAATCATGAGGTCTCTTATTCAAATCTCAGCGAGGCAAAAAAACACTAGGTGATTTCTTCCAATTTGTCCATACCCCTTGGTGGACACAGACTTACCTGAGCAGAAATAAAATTCACAAGACAGGTAACTGCGAGAAAAATGTTACTACTACTGGTATGAACGGGGAAACAGGTACAGTGCACCAAGCCTATCCTGTCGGATAGCGAGACAACATTCAACTACCTACCAACCTTCTACCCTAATCTGAGCGACCTCCATAACGTCCTATTTAAGGTTGTCCTCGATAAGCTGAAGATGCACCATATCTTGTCTAATCACCTCTCCTTAATACTTCTTTGGCCTAACTCGAACCCGGGCATCACGGTGACCAAGGAAAAAAAAACTAAATAGGCAAAGGCCTCTAGCTAATACAAATTGCCTGTATGAGAATGTCAATAAGTTCAAGATTGTGTACCAGAATGGATTCAATTTCCTCCTGAGTAACTGGTGTTCTTTTTGGTTGATCAGAAGCCTTCCCTGCGACAGACATGCTAGGTGGGGACCTTGAGAAAAATGTTCGAGGAGTTTCTTCAGCTGATGGAGTTTTCTGATGTTGGGAATTCTGCGATGTGGTACCTGCAGGATAAAAGAATCTTCATGTGTTGTTTGAAAAAAAAAGGAAAAGAAAGAAAGGTATACAAGTGTTTTTTTGGATGAAGATACATTCAGTTAAAAGCTAAACGCGTTAGTAAACAATAATCAATAAAACCCATTCTCCCTCTTAAACAAACCAAATTCACACTGTTTACTAGATCTCAAAAAGAACCAAAAAAAAAACAAGATAGTGATAAGCAAGCATGACAAGCATAGGACTGAGGCAGCACGAAAAAGAATATATGAAGTCCTAAACCCAGGATTGAAAAGATAAATTTAACAGAAAGAGGAATGATGTGATATGATTTAACACTATCACAATGGGTTATAGCAGTCAGTTGCACCAGTAAGCTCTTGGACCGACAGATATAAGGTGTTGATTTAACATATGGTCACTCAAATAATAGTTATTATTTCAGAAAACTCGTCCTTTTTCTTGATTGCAATCTTTTTCAACAGAAAAAGTGACTTTCTGGTATAATAATTATTAATTGAGTGACCATATGAGAAATTCGACTCTAGATATAAGTGGGGTGCACTTGGAATCTTGCTACAACGTATGAATTCACCATAGAACAATTTGGAATATGGCAGCTATAAGCAATTTGTGCTTTTTCCTGTTAATCCCCGCAATCTGTGAATTCACCATAGAACGTGAAATTGTTTATACAGTCTACAACTCCTTAGACTTACCACAAATTGGTGAATGATGCTACCTAAGATGTGGGACGAATAAAGCACAAAATGGACCTGCAGTCAATTAAGACCAACACAATGGTGATATAGGACAATAGATAGGGCAGGTTTGAAGGAGGATATTTTGAGAGTTGAGAGATAGTGTAAGTTATCACCCCTACAAGTTTCTCCCATGTAGTAATAGCCATTAATCTCCATCAGCATTCAAGGGCCATATTTAAGCTATTGATAAGGGAAACTACAAGTAAATATATGAAGCCAGAATACTACTTAAAAACAAGGACTAGATTGATGAGACTTACCATAATAATGGCATCAACAACATACCTATGGTAGTCTAACAAAGTGTGGTCTAGGGACGGTAGAGTGTACGAAGACCTTACTCTTACCTCAAAGGTAGAGAGGTTGTTTCAGATAGACCCTCGGCTCAAGAAAAAAACAGTCCAAAGCAGTCTAGAAAAGGAAGTAATCGAGGTACAAGAAACAACAAATAGTAACAAACTACAACACAATAACGATAGTCAAAGTACAAAAAGCAACAAATAGTAAAAAAAAAGACGAAGGATACAAACTAGAAGAGTAATACTGCGACTAATAATATGATGGTCAGCAAGCCAATGCACTCCTACCTACTACTCATCTACCCTAATTTGTGTTCATTTCCTCGGTAAGCTAAAACTTTGACATGTTTTGTCTAATCACCTCTCCCAAATATTTCTTCGCTCTACCTCTACTTCTCCTGAAACCATCCATAGCCAATATAATGAATTTATAATTTTTTCCAACATGAAAGCCTATTACTTGCCACAACCTATGAGTACTTGAAGTGTAACTTTATACAGCTTTCAAGAAAAACTCTTTTTTGGGGGTGTTTTTTATGCAGGATCTTCCAAAACCAAATACCGATCAGCCTTTAACTTGCAGATATAATGTGCTAATGTCCAATAACAAGATTTTCAAGGAGAGGACAAAATCGAAATGAGGGTATTCAAGACTGTTTAGGGGCTGGACAATATGTAATGAAGTGCAGAAACAGTGAGGAACGAGTAGAGAATCTAAAGAGCTATGAAAAGAAAAAAGAAGGAGAAAGGAGAAGAAGCAAGGAAGAGATCATGTATATTTCCAAAATATTTTTCATTCAAGTCTCCCCCAACATAGAGGGACATCAAATTCTACAAGCAAAACTTGCATAGAATACAACATCGACAGTAAATCTCTTGACAGTTTGAATGGTGAAACTCCAGTGAACTGCCTAATTAGAAGATCTGAGATTATAAACTAATGTGTTAACTGTTTGATAGCTTTTGGACTACCTTGAAGACCAACATCAAGTAGATGAATAGATATTGCTTGTCCAAGTCTCAAAGGATGCAGTACATTGGAAAAATCAAAAAGCCATCAAACTCATGCACAAACTAAATAACAAGAAAATCTTTTTTTTTTAGAATGACAAGAAAAAGAAACATAATTGCCTATTCATATCTTAAAGAACATCTTAAAGGAAGAAACTTCCTCCCACATATTGAAATAAAGGGAATTTTCATATCAAGATGAAACAAAGAGAAAATAAAGATGACTCTCGACGTAATTGGGTATTCTAGTAACATGGCATAATTTCACAAACAAATAAACTTGCAGAGGAGTTGCTCCTAGTGAATACCGTAGGATCCCCAACTAGTACTTTCTCAACCAACTGCAACACATGTTTAGACACACTTTACAAACACTTTCAAAACTAGTTCATTCACCAAACAATCAAATCTAATAAATACTTATTACTCGAAGCAAAATTAAGGATCCTGAACCACCATCCCACCCCCACCCCATCTTTCTTACCGGCAACTCTTTCATGTAATATTACGTGACTGAAACAAAACACAACTATAAGTAAATAAAAAGCAACCAATCAATCAACTTCGCTTCAAACTAATTATCATTGACTACATTTACCATTCTAGTCTAAAACTGAAACATGGGAATTTTTCGAAAGAAAAGAATGAAGCAGGAAATAAAGATGATCCATTTTTGTTAAACTACTTGTAAATAAGTTTTTATTTCTAGTTTCTTTAACAGAAAGAACAAAATTTTAGCATTTTTGACTCTTCAAATATAATCTAGTATAACGAGGTATAAATTCCCAAAGGAATAAACTTGGTGAGGAATTGTTCCTAGCTAAATGTCCTAAATCCACAAATGAAACTTTCTAAACCAACCACAAACTCAAAACTAGAAACTTCTATGAACCATTTCAGAAGATCAAATTACTCATCACTCGAAGGAAAAATACTTAATCCTTAACCCCCAACCCCCAAAATCTCTTCTTTACAAGCTATCTTTTACAGTTTTATCATTTGATTGAAACTGAACATAAGTCATAACTACAACTAACCAAAAAAGGTATCAATCAATCAACTTTTCTTCATTTACAAACTAATTGGGGTCAACTAAACGAATCTTCTCTACCATTTAACTCTAAAACATAAGACAAAACCAAATTAGAAGAAAAAAAAATCAACCAAATCAAGAATTTCACCAACATATTGATAAATTCAGATAAAAATTACAGAACCCATACCAGAATGCTTTGAATGCCTCTGTGGAAACTTGATTCGTGGAATTCTCTTCATTGCCTGCGCTCCACCCATTGCTTTCTTCTTCGATTGTAAGAGGAAAAAAAAATCGAGAATTTCTAAAGCCGGAAAAGTATTAGGAATTCTTCAAATATGGCCCATTGCCGCAAAGTTATTAAGAAAATAAGGAAATATTTTATTTTTTAACTATCCACCAAACTTTGTTTTCTGTCTCGATACACTGGTACGAGCTATAAAACAAAGTAAGGTTGTATATTATATCATAATGTATCGTATTATAGTATAATATATTATTTTGATCGAACTTATAAATAGATTTATAAAGTTATTGAATTTTTTTTCACAAGTATTTCAATTATGTTATTTTCGTATTAAATTATTGAACCATCTATAATTTGTTCTTTTCATATATGTTGACTGATTTTGATAGACTTTTCTATTGTAAATATCTTCAATTGTGTTCGTATTGTAATGATTTTGATTAAAGGAACGAAGACAAACTATGTGTTATTCTCATTTGTTTTCTAATAGGTTCAAATGACTTTAAGTAAAAAACACAATTATACTCGAATATTTTTATTATCAATTGAACTAATGAGTTCTGGAATAACGTATTTATCCTCTCTATTAATACCCTCACAAAATCTGGTTACACATCAACCAGAGGTGTTTAAAAGAAATAATTATGGGTGGTTTAATAATTCAATAGGAAAATAAGATAATTGAAATACCTGAGGAAAAAAATCGATAAATTTAGCAATCTTTTTATGTATTTGACCTATTATTTTCTATTGTTATATAATAATACAAGTTAACTTTAAATAATTAATTTTAAAAAAAAGGAATACGGAACAGAGCTAATATAAAAAAATAAAATATAATATAGGGGAAATAGGGGTTTTAGTCCATGTATTATTTGCATATGCTAGTTTTAGTCTCTATGTTATTTAACTATGTATATTTAACCTTCGATTATTTAAAGGATGAGATTTTGATATTTGATGTTAACGAAACTTAACTATTAATTAAAATGATTATTCAAAGATATATAAATTAAAACAAAATAAAGAGTTGGTCATTGTAAATGATTGAATGATTATTTTAAATAAATAAATTTTGATTCAATTTGTTTATTTGCTCTATTTTTTATTCATTAGCAACTCATTCTTCCTTTCTTTTTCATGATGGTTACTAGTCAAGGCAAAACAAAAAAAAACAATTAAATTTGAAAAGGTTTAATAGATGGACAGGCGTTTTAAGATTATTAATGATATTCTAACAATAATTTTGATCTTTAAAAAAATATAATATTTAATTCTTCAAGCATTTATCATTGACAGTAAATAAATGAAACTCTTTATCGTTATCTAACAATAAATTTAAACGATACGATATAATAAAATTTAAGTATCTATCAAATATATTGAATTAACAATACAATAAATCATCACAAATAACAATCATTCAAACAAGATTTAATAAAATTAGAACACTTACCAACATAAAACTCAAAAAACTACATAACAAATTACTAAATAATGGGAAACTCAATATATAGAGTATTACAGTTGAAAAAAAAATTAAACAAATAAGGAATCTCATCATCTATCGAGAAATCGTAAAGCACTAATAAAATTATCTCCTATGATTTATAAGTCATAAATTTAAGTCGTGAAATAACTTATAATGTGTATATTGGATTGTAGATCGTCGTTTAAATCACATCTCTTGAGATACGATCATTATTAACACGACGAGATACTTTGTGTATCAAATTTTTATTTTTTCAAAAAAATGAATCTCATGATCTATCCATCATCTCTTGAATTTCTGGGCTCTCTATAATACTTTCTAAAGATGGTTTCCACTTAGAATCACTTGTATTATTTTCTTTTCTTCTTCTTTCCATTTCAATTTCTCCCAATAATTCCTCTAAATTTTTCCCTTCATTATGTTTCAATTGAACCAATAAACTTTCCAATTCTTCTTTACTCAAAACCATCTTCATTCTCATAATATTATTTTTCTCCACCACATTTTCTTTAGCTTTGACAATTTCACCCTCCATTTTTTGTTCATGAACAATTTCATCCTCTAATTCTTCTTCTCTTTGTAATAAACATATTTCCATGCAATTCCCCATTATTACTATTTCTTTTTTTTCCTTCTTATGAGATGAGAAAGTTGAAGATTTTGTAAAGCAAAAAAAAAAAAACCCCAATAATTTAGTGAGAGAAAGAAGAGAGAAAGAGAGTTGTGAAGTGTGTAGTATAGTATGCATGTGTTATGGTTGATTAGACTTTTTATAGAGAAATAATAAAGCACATATAGAATAAAATAATATTCTATCGTATGTAATTTTGAGAATGAAATCGTCTTTGATAAAAAAAAAAGAATTTTATTTATAAAATAAATTTGAGATGATTGAAAAATCTAAAGTTATATATATTAATATTTAATAAATAAATATGAAACTTGAACTAACTTTTTTTTTTAAAATTTTGGTGTATACATAACTTCTATGTTACCTGTATAAAACTTTTCGATATAAATTTTATTAGCTAGAATTCAAATTAAATATTGAACGCTAAATAAAAACTTTAGTTACATTGAGGATACACTTCATGTTATTGATAATGGTAAATTAACTATGTATATGATTTATATTATTTTTAAAAATATATTTATATAAAATGCGATTTTTTTTAAAATTTTACGCGAATAAATAATACGTGTCTTTATTTTTTTTTGGTGTATACATAAAATATTGAACTCGTTATTGCCAACTGCCACGCGTCCTTCCAGGCCATGCTAAAGAGCATAGTACGTACCGTGTTGCACTACCTCCATATATTTTTATTAAATTTGATAATATAATATGTGTAATATATATATTTATATATATTTTAATTTAATTTACGTGATATTATTCAATTTAATTCAATAAGAGAAAAAGTAAATTAGAGAGGATATTGTTTTTGAAGACGAAATATATTGATTTTTATGTCCAAGAAACATGAAATTTGATGATTTTGAAACTTCTTTAGCAATGGTGAAGTGTTTAACCAAATTTAAATATCTAAAATTAGATTATTTTTTTTTAAAAAAAAAAGTGCAAATATGTGTTGATAGTTGATAACGTAAAATATTTAAAAGCATTAGGTGATAAATAGCTTATATTTTTATGTGTCGAAAAATGTCGGTACTAAGTTTCATGGAAAGAGACTACTAACATATATTGCTAGTCCAACATGTCACATTTTTGTCTCACTAAAGTATTAAATATTTTATAATATATAGTTAAATAATTTGTTGAATATTCTTTTCCAATAGCTAGCTACAATTGCATGACTAGAAAGAAAATTTATTTTTTTCCCACTTGGTACTTTTATCATATACATTTGGAAAATATTCTTTCCCCATTAGCTAGCTAGAAATTGCACTACTACCGCCATCCGAATTTTGCTTATAAATATTATTATTATTATTATATTATTAGTATCATTAATAATAGCGTGTGTAAAAATAAAGATATTGAGATAAACGTATATATATATATATGTATATGGTCATATAGAGATAGAAGAGAAGTCAAAATTGAAAGATGAAGAGTATCACACCACTTTAAACATGGATATGTTTGTTATTACAAAGTCCAATTGGGATATATGTTTAATCGATCCTGATTCTATAATTCAAGTATTTTTATTTTTGATATATATATATATATATATCACAAAAAGAAGAAATGATTATAACCACACTTGATCAAAGAAAAAATAACTCAATAATGATATAACAATTTATATTTTACAGATATATCACGCTCTATTTATAAACTGAGCTCTATTTACAAACTGAATATGAAGAGTTAAAAATAATTTCACATAGTTTCAATTTATAGTATGATTCACTAGAGATGAGTGCCTTTCATTAATGACACTAAGCATGTTCTTTGTAGTTACGAATGACAAGTGAAAATTTAATACATAATGACTACATATATAAATTAATTCAATTGTTCATATGTATAATATGTGTTAACAATGAAATTCGAACATTGGTACAATAACACTAAAAGAGTTTTAAGTAGTCATCGTAGAACTATTGAGTCAACTATATGATTTATTCATTGAGTGCTCTATGTTAATTTTATACGAATATCTATTGATTTCTACATATATATATATATATATATATATATATTTTGTAACGAAGTTAATGGGTGCTCGAGCACCCAGCGAACACCATGTGGGTCCGCCCCTGGTTGTATATATATGTAGATCCGTCCTTTTACAACTATGAAGAGATATAGTATTACAATGCGAACGATCTCCATAATAAGTAAGGTAATACGATTTTTGCTTTTTAAGAAAAATATCATATTATTGAAAATATATTTGAAGAGGAGGTAAACACTAATCTATCCATCCAACATAAATATTACTGTAAAGCTAATTTGACCTCGAATAATAACTTCAATTTCATTTCAGTTCTTATCGTTTGTTATATAAACATTAAAAAAAAGTAATTTTCTCTTTAATAAGCATATTCTAGTATTTGATATGACTCTTCTGGTACGTATGATTTTTAATTTTTTTTTGTATCGTTGATATCAAACTAACAAATGAAGTTTTGTCAAGGACTAAATTTATTAACTTTTATTAAATTTTAAAGGACCAAAATTGTTTAGTCAATACTTAAAAGAACTATTTTCAGGCTACCTCAAACTTAAGGGACCATTTTTGTCATTTTCTCTTTTTAAATTAATTCATAGCAATAAACCTTAAACCCCATGCCTAAACCTTCTTCCCCTGTTTCAGTTGCTTGTTGGATCCAACTCCAACTATAACATTTAACTGTAAGTTCTCAATCTTTAGTACTCTTCTTCTATTGTATTATTAAATTTGTATCCATGGCCAATTTCAATCAGTGGAATCACAAGTTGATTTTTTTTTTTAATTTTCCCCCAAATGGGGATCTTGAATTTTGAGTTTAAACTGAATCTGAATTGTATTACTTTGGTGTTCTTCAGTTATTTTGTATTTTTTGTGCCTCATAATTGCTGAATGATTGTAAAGGTTTAGTCTTTCTTGAGTGGAGGGTCTATTAAAAATAACCTCTTTTTACCTTTTAGAGGTAGGGGTTAGGCTGTGT